TGCTTTCTGTCTGTCAGGAAGCTGGTGATCCACTGACAGGTAGCTGAGTTCTGCATGCTTGCCCACGTTTCTTGATAAAAGGAGATAAGTTTACTTAGAGATGGATGAGGACAACAACAAAAGAAAAGTCTGAAGTACATAAGCAAAAATAAATGGTATTGCAAAAAGCCAAAAATCCATCTTTTAAATGTTCTGTGAACATTTTATGTAAATGTGAGCATTAAACCTTCAGTTTATTAGAGAGTTTGTGCCATTACTGGATGAAAATGTAATACAGATGTGCCAAATTCTGTGTCTCACTGTGTGTGTGTGTTGAACATTCATTAATTCTGAAGGTGTTTTCATAGCTGTCAGCTTTTTTAATGTCTGTAGAGACCGACTATCATGAGAAAGATCGATGGATTTGTTTGTGCCCCGGTCACCCAGAGGTACATTCCTCATGACAGCAGCAGCTATAAGATATGATAGCAGCTGCTGCCAAGGCTCCTCTACCTCAGTCGAGGAAGAGCCTGCAGACTGAATGCAGTTCATGTCTCCTGTCTCTTCTTCTTCTCTATAAAACAGCTCAGTAGTGTGAGTTACTGAAGCACAATGAATAAATGAGGACGTAAAAGATGTTGTGTTTTAGTCTGATGATCTTGAATTTTTAAAATACATTTTCACAGACAGACAAATGTGCACTTTGCCACAGTTGCTGTTCCACATGTATGTAGTGTAACAAGATGGCCCACCTTACTGTATATGCTTTTGTCATGCAAATACAACTCCAGGCCACACCTCTTGTATTCCAAAGCTTACTGAAGGTTTTCCGATCAACTAACAGGATTTCTAGACAATCTTGTTTTTGAAGCTGGAGAGCTGCAGAATTCAGCTATAAGATGGAGTGTACATGGTGGGGGTGGCCTTAAAGCATCATGTGGAATTTACTTCTGAAAACAGGGACACAGACAGAACAATAGATCCTTTAGATGACAGTCCCTTTAAAAACACTTCCATTACTAACAAAACACACACAAAAGAAAACCTGTCTTGCAGAAAAGGTACGAAAAACATTCTGTGCTTAGCAAAACACCAGAAACGAAGAGAATCTGCTTGTGACTTTATTTAATCCCACACTGGGTGTGCCCTCCACCTGGTGGGACATGCCCAGAACACCTCGGTTGGCTCCTTTAGGTGAGGAGGAGTAGTGACTCTCCTCTGAGTATCTCCCCAATGTCCAAAGGCCTGACGTGTGTTAAACACGAGAATGAAAATGAGCTTACAATTTTTGTCTGCCTTAATAATATGACTGGGAAAAGGTGGAGTTGTTGGAGGTCTAATAATATTTCACATCAGGTATTTACAGTAGAAGTTGAAATATATGAATTTGAAAGTATATGAACACATCTGGCAACCTTTCAAGTTTCTTTTTCAAATGAAATGAAATTGAATTTGGCATAATGTTGCAACATGTTCTCACTGCTGAGTGAACTCATCGTCCTCTTTGTGTTTGAATGTCACATTTTAAACAAAGTGTAACAACCTGAATTTATTTGCTTAAATCTTTTCACTGCAAATACCTGCTCTCACAACAGGCACTCCCAGATGTATGTACAGGAGCATTACACACCTTTGGCACGTGTAACTGCTCTGACAGTGTTGTCTATTATACAAATCACAGTTTGCAGGTGAAATGTGATACCCCACTCCAACTCCACCCAAGAAAGAGCCAAAACTATACAATTGCAAACCCCATGCAGCCTTTTATTGACTTTGGCAGTGAGCTATGCCAAAATTACAAACAAAAGATCTCTAAAGCTCCATGATCTTCCATGCACAAAACAAAAGTCGAACAAAAGACACTGTGCTTACATAAATGTCTACTGCGACAAACAAGAGAAACCAGGTTTCAGGAGAAAAAGTTTCTCACTCCTACGAGGCTGCTGCAGTGTTAAATACAGTGAAACATTATGAGTTGTCTAATTCACAAAACTACTTCCAACTGTTTACAAAGGTCTGGTCTAGCACTCACAACACCACACACAAATTGGCTTCTACTCGGGAACTTTTTGACCTTTTTC